ACCTCCTCGCATGTTGTTTTAGATAAATATAACGTATGTTCTTTTCCTTTATGGATATAAGTTTGTCGTATCGGTTCGGAAAAACCGCTGGCGACAGTAAATTCCACAGTTTGGTCGTGCGAAGCAGAAAGTGTAGTAGTGGACCGCCAGCCATCGAGATGATGAGGATGCAATTTCGAGTCCTGGTGCAGTGAACGATGATGGAATTCGGTAGCTGGAATTAATCCGAATAATTCCTCTCAGCAATCCTCGTGGTATATGCGGTAGAAGATGCATAAAGATGCAACGTCTCTTCGCAAGGTCAGTGGATCAAGCCGATCGGAAAAAACTTGATCGTCGACGATTCGAGTCACTCTCCGTTGAATATGGTCTAGTGGAAGCAGCTGATACTGGGGTGTCCCGTTCCAGAGACAAGAACAGTGTTCCATATGAGGCCAACCCTGCTTTTGGTAAAGCTGCAAGCGGTGGTCTGGCATGAATTACCGTCTTGATCTATTGAAGACACCAAGCTTTTTTGATGTCAGTTTAGCTTTCCCTTCCAAGTGAATGCGGAACTGTACGTCTTTCAGTGCCCTGAAATTAAGAAGATACGACATAGGGGTTCTTTTTTGCGGTAAACGCGCAAACCTGTGTCTATTGGGGGTTAAACTGGAATAGATTTAGTCGCCCTCAATCCGAGACTTTGTTCAACAAAGACTCGACTTCAGACACGAGTTTGTTCCAGCACTCTACGACAAATTCCCGAGAAATATTAGCACCGCCGTGGTGTATAAAGACCGAATTGCAAAATTTCTCGGGAAGCACATAAGAGGGAAGCCTCGAAAGAATTGCTTTGTGCCAACCCCTTCGAGAGCCTTCGCTATGTCCAAACTAACCGCCTGGGCCTCCCCCTTGATCTCGACTACGTCCGCCCATCGGTAAGTCAGGCAGACAAGAAGACCACCAGCTGAACGACCTCGACGGAAACCGTATTGACGATCACTAAACAGCTAATGATCTTGCATGCTGCCAGCTCATGCAGATACATCTCTGCTCTGACAGTTAATAATGGATTCCATTATTTTGGAAAATAAGTAGGTGACGGAATTATTTTAAAGAATATAGCCCAAGACTTGTAGTTGGACGGGTTCGAGCGATCACCTTTTATAGGGAACAATTTGGGGGATTCCCAGGCCCACTCGACTTGATGACATCCAGGTATAGTGTCCAGGGAGCTGTGTAAACAGCACATTGCATAGAGTGCTCACAAGTATGTTATTGGTATGTTCCCCCGTCGACGAGAGTCGAGTTGGACGCAAAAAGAGAACCTAAAAGATCTGCTTTCTTCTTTGCGCGGCGTGGGCCAGCGAGCCATCCTCCCAACTCAAAAATGGTAATGATGGCTTACAAAAATTCCGGGATCAGAACGCACGAGTTCCCGAAGGAAGGCGAACTAAATTCTCGCCAATTCTCCCAATGTGTTCCGACTTTGTCCTGTGATAACTCTTTTGAAGGACCTAGAGGCGGATTTGTATTGTATACCTTAAGCGAAAGCGCAAGGTATGTTCTACTATCGCCTAAAAATTAAAGATTCCAACGTTTTACCGAATAAAATCGTATCTAGCAATCATATTATACATATAAATGATATAAAAAGCACATTGTTAGAAAGATAAATGATTGTTGAACTTATTAATTTTTTTTTAAATCGATTAATTGCTATTTTTAAATAAAAAAGGGGTTTTAGTGGCTTATGGTGTGGATTTATCATGTCCCCAAGGCTTGTAAACACGATATCTTTTGAAAATATCAATTGTTTAACTCCATTTATTTTTTAATCTCTTCATCTATCATGTGGAAACCCACTGAATGTAAATGGAAGTGTAATTTTGTTTTGTTTAGCTATAATTAATGTTTTTTGGCTCCAAAATGGCGAAATTTTCATAGATTTGGTAGCCTTGTATGTAAATTATTTCTCTAAATGGGGAGCTACAGCCACAGAGTAGTTTATTTCGGCTTCAGTCGCCGTCGTGAGTGGACATTGTTTCGGTTGTTTGCAGCGGCTCAAAAAGATCGCTGTACAAACACACAATATTCGAATAACCAAATTTCTTAAATACTTGATTATAATAATAATAAGAGATTTTTTTATTACAATATTTTAAAAGCACAGAATAAATAATTTTAGTACGTACTAAAAGTAAGTAGTAAAATTTTTTTGTCATGGGTGACATTTCCATAGTTTTCGAGGGTGTTGAAGCCGATAGTGCTGTCGAAATGTAAATCCAAGGTGGCGGCTGCAATAGATATTAAGTTTTTCATCTTGGGTGTCATTTTCATGGTTTTCGAGGGTGTTGAAGCCGATAGTGCTGTCGAAATGTAAATCCAAGATGGCGGCTGCAATAGTTATCAATTTTTTCATCATGGGTGTCATTTTCATGGTTTTCGAGGGTGTTGAAGCTGATAGTGCTGTCGAAATGTATTTAAATTACTTTAAAATTCCGTATAATCATGTTATACGTAATTTTTTTAATGCGCCTAAGATATGCCCAATTGGATTTACCAATATTTTTTATTTTATTTCTTTTTGTGTGCACTAGTGTTTGCATCCCGCGACCGATGCTTCAGCCCAGGCCTTGTAACACACTGCTTTTGCTTTTTCCGCGACGCAAATTTTGCAGGAGTATCCAAACCAATGCTGAGATCTGCCGCTGATAGGCACTACAGATGACGGGATCAAAATACCCATCCCCTCAAGTACGATATCAGCGACAGACTCAACAATGATTTTTATTGGATCATCCAGCTAGAAGCAAATCCCTCATGGGTAGGTTACAAAAAAGCCCGCACCGAAATCAAATCCTAATCCGCTGAGCTAAACCACAGACGGCGGCAGCCTACAGATCGTGCCTGCAATGAGCAAGTGACGGGCGCTGTACTCCGGATCAGGCAATGATCCGAAGAACCAATAGGGGCATCGACGGAGACCCGATATCCGTCCGGATAATCCACCACATCTTGTATCCTCGTGGGCGAAGTAACCAGTTGTGTCAGGCCATATGTCAAGGCAAAGTCGTAAGCAGATCTTCCCACATGATCGGTTCGAGTACCGAGCCATTCGTCGAGGTGGGCGTTGAAACTTGTGTGCTTACCGTATAAAATTTTGTGTTTTATTTTCGCCAATGAAATAATCGGTTACTGATTGTCTACCATGGATTATCTTAGTCGAGAAAGATGTAACATTTCACGTTTTTGTGATATCAAGTAAATCAATCTACCACGTCTTATTAAGTTTCACTGTAAAAATTACGCTTAGGGAGTCGGGTTTGGATACGCGGGGCCCCATTTTACGCGGGGCCCGTAGCAATTGCTACTCTTGCTACGTGGTTAATCCGGCACTGCTGCGATTACTCATATCAACACGGTATCGTAAAATCGTAATATCTAATACATAGTTAGTTTGTCGTCCGATATATAGATTTATAGAACTAATAGAACTCTACAGATTACTAATATAATTCTGATACTCAACTAACTCAACCCTAACGTCATCATTCTATCATCATATATATATATATATATATATATATATATATATATATATATATATATATATATATATATATATCGATGTTTTTACAGCAACTAATACGAATTATTTACGGATAAAACTCAGGAATGCGTTAACGTTATTTAATGGTAAATGCGCGTAATGATGTCAGCATCATTATTATCACTGCCCATCACAATTCTATTGGTAAAGAAAGGCCTCCCTCAACGCCTCAAAGCACGGTTCTGAACATCTGCATCCATCGATTTCTGGCATGTCTTACCAGGTCGTATCCATCTAGTGGGGGACTCCTTACACTATGCTTACCGGTGCAAGGCTGCTACTCGAGAATATTTTTTCCCATCAGTCGTAGATTCTTTCAGCTATGTTACCAGTTCATTGCCACCTCAGCTTACTGATCTGTTAGGCTATATTAATCTGGTTCTATTGCGGATATCTTCATTACGAAGTCACCTATCACGCAGAGAAATTCCGACCATAGTCATCTTAGTTCGCTAAACGACCTTACGCTTTCTCATACCTGGCAACAGGCACTGGTTGTACACTCGGGATTTTAAATTTGAAGGAATAATGCGTGTAAAGATGACGTGTTGTAATCTCCTGAACACCGTCGAGTACAAAGTTGGGCTTACCTATACGGACAATTTGTCCTAGGTTAAACATACTCATCAACAACGTCGAGCACTGTGCTCCTAACTACTACCGGCATGGGTGTGACATGGACGTTACACATGACCTTTGTCTTATCCATGTTGAAATGTAATGCGTAATGATGTAATATGTTTTTATTTATAAAATTTTGTATTTTTAGGTCCCATATTCAGTGTATCGCAAAAAGGACACCCTACTATAAAAATCGGGTTATATACTTTTTACAAACAACGAAAGCAGGGGAAAAAAACAAGATGGTGGTGTAAGTATGCTCATCGCGGTTGTAAATCAGCTTTATATACAGAAAATGATAAGATTGTAAGTGTGACGGGTAGTAAACATAACCATGATATGGGTGTAATGCCAACAGTCCCGGCACAGCTATCAAATGAAAGTCATTGTTCATTACTTAACGTGAAAATAGTAAAACCATTTTATAATTTTAACTAAAACTACACAAAATATAAGAATAGTATGGATATTTCAGTCTTAGCATATAATGCAAAACATTTAAATGTTATAATATTAAGTTTCCGGAGTTTTGATCGCATATAACATGTGCACATTCAAACCACATCCAAACTAATGTTTGCGAACATGAAATAATTGAATATTTAAGGACAATAAATTTTGTTACCTATTTATGAATATAATGTCAAAAAATGTTAGTATATGTAAACATTTTACAAAAGTTAATTTATATAAATTTAACCTTTATGAATATTTCTGAATGCACCGTTAAAAAATAAAAAAAGGTACATACTCTGTGGTTAACGTCACATTTTGATTTGACAGATTTGGTGCGTCATTTGTGCATGTACTTTTCTGTTTTCCTATCTCCAATGTTTTGTACTTAGTACTAACGAGTAATTTCTCAAAGCTATTTTAATTTTTGATTATTATTAACCTATAGTTATGTAGATATTTTAAGTCAAAGATGTCTTTGAGTGTGTGTGTACATCATCTGTACTATTAAGTTTGGACAAAAATAAAAACAAGAAGGATATGAATTGTTTTCTGAATGAATAACCACTTCAAACTTGTGTTATTATTTAATTGCAGAAAGGTTTAACTACACTTCAATATTTCAGGTGAAGATTTAGTGCAGTGCGTGCCTACAAGGAAAGGACATCACATTTTGTTTAAAGGATACACTTATGTATTCAAGAGTAGGTTGCAGTGCGGCGCCGAGCAATGGTGTTGCTCATATAGACAGAAAACTGGTTGTATATCTGTTATTAATATGCAGGCTTATGGTGTAGAAGTTTTAAGAGATTTTCATAATCATAAGAAGCCTATGTTTTCTGATGGGCTTTAAGAAGCATATCAATGATACAATATAATTTTTACAAAGTTTACAAGGGTGGTAGTATTATTTGAAAACCTTTTACGTAAGAGCTTTTTTATCTCTTATTGTCTAGTTATTAATATTATTAAACAAAAATTGTTTAATTGAATCTAATAGATTTGTTAACTTTTACAGTGCAGTGCTTATTAAAAATCATTAAAATGTTTAAAGTGAGCTCTATGTTAATATTAAAATATTTATAGTACTTCTCTAATGTTCCCAGCTATATATATAGCTGAATTCCAAAGGATAGAAATGAAATTGTAAATTGACTTAATATATTGTCAGTATATCTTTTTAAAATATGTATGGATCAGTTCCTTCTATTTCGTTTATAAAATATTTATTAGAACTTAAATGATTTTGCTAATATAAATTTTCCTACAATACACTTTTTTTCATTTTTGTAACCATTTTATGTATTTAAAATAAATAAATATCATTTTAAAAATGACTTTTAATTTTCAACAATTTAATGAGTTTTATGGTCGTACTTATAATCATTTACTCTAAAGTATTAATTATCTCTATACCTGTCTTTTTCTATTGTCATTAAGTGAAGGGACAGACAGTAACTTTAAGTATTAGTCAAATTGACATAGATTTATATGAGTATGACCATTGTTGTTTAAAATTAAGTATATAGTGACTAATAATTTATATTTATAATTAAGCTTTAGCCCTTATGTATACCATAATAGCATAGTACTATGGTATACTTATAAAAATGAATAAATGTTCTTATAAAATATTATTAATTTGTTTAATGTCTTAAATATCATATAATATCAATATATAATTTTGCCCTAGTTGTAAATGTACTGTTTGTAACCATTTCACTCTTCAAAGTTAATTTGATTACAGATATTCAGTTGCCGGAGTGGGTTTCTATCTACTTTGTAAAAGTTACAGATAATGAATATAAATGTAATGTATGCGAAGCTTTAATAAAAACAGATGAGAAATCATTACAATTATTAAAGCATATAAAACAAAACCACAAAGAAGTTTATGAACTTCATAAAGGCACTTCTGATAATACTGTTGGATTTCATATTGAGTTTCTTCATGTGGACATGTTAAAAGATGACGGAGACCCCAAAACTCAGCCTGTGATACTGGGAGAGGTGTGTGAAGCAACTACAGATGAAATTGCTAAAACCAAGGAAGAAGATGGTGTTGCAGATATGCAATATGTATTAATACCAAAGAAGAAGAAACGAGATTCTGGTAAGTTTTGTGTTTTAAAATGCATGCATTATATAATTGTGTATACTGTTTCCAGATTGTAGAATTGGTCATATCATAAAGTAGTGACCATTTTGTGAAATGTTGGTATTTTATATGTTTTGACTATATCTACGAACAGAGATTGGTTTGATGATATAAACAAATGTTTTATCTCAAAATATTATGTTTGAAAATTATATTGTGTAATTGTAAAACGAGTTAGATTTTTCACCGCTAGTGCACAGATAGCACAACTGAATCCATACACTATGCTTATTTTATATATTATATATACATATGTGGCTTTTTAGTTGCACCACAACTTACTGTCTCATCATCATGATCTAAGATATTTTACTTTAAAGTTGTTTTTATATTTATGATATGGCCAGTAATAATTGGCCGTATCCTGAAATGATTGTGTTGCATGAAATATTCTGGAATTTCATTATATGGTCAATTCTACAGTTTAGCCAGGACATGAGGTTCCTTCAGCTACGGTTTTCTAATACGACTATGTCCTTAAATGTCTTTATATAATGATTATGATTTAAATATCCATACTCAAAATAAAGTTATCACTACATTCTTTAATCATCGACAGTTCTGTTTGGCAGTTGCTTCGCTGCTTATTCTTACTACTACTTACTAGCTTTCTTATTACTGTGTGTAATTATTAATATGTTATGTAATTGTGTGTAATTTACACATAGACATGCAACACTACATGTGTGTAGAATGTCTCTATAATATGGGATAAGTTAATAGTCTTGAGTATTTTATAGTAATAAACTATCAACCTATTCAGTTCTATGTTAGTTGTAAAAGTTGGCTTAGAGATGTTACTGAAATTATTTAACATTGATAGAGATGGTAAGATTACAATTCCAAAAATTACTAGAATTATTCTGACTTATTGTTTTGAATTTATTTATTTTTTTTGCACAAATGCCATTTATAAATAATGACTTGGTAACTTAATGTGTATTGAAAATTTTACAACCATACATTTTTAGTTAACTCACTTCAAATAAAAGTATATTTACCCAACTGCTCCAATCTTAATTTCTGTGAATGTAAGCAATGATAAGCTAAAAATAACATGCAAAATATTACAAAGCCAAATTTCAGTAAATATGAAAAGGTATGCAGTTTTTATACACAAAATATTATTTAAGAATTTATAAAAGAAGGGAGGTCTTCAATTAGAGTGTATGTTATTTTTGTATGTAGGTATACTCAATGATTATTTTCTAAATAGGTTATACTTTAAGGGTGGACCCATATAAATTTGATTAAAAAATTCCACCCTAAGGGTGGAAAAATAGCGAATAAAGTTACTGAAGTAACTCTTTATACGACATTCTAGTTGTAACCTTGAGCTTGTGATATTCCTCAGTCGACCAATAAGTCAATATTTTTTCTTCTAATAAGTAAAAGCCACCTTGACACAAAGTAAAAACCGAAAATTAAAAAGAGAAAAATAATTTCCAGTCGTCGGTTTTATATACATACTACGGCGATACATTGAAAATGGTCCAAATTAGGAGTACCCTTAAACAACGAGCGTGTTTGCGTAGATATATGGATGTAAAAGAGGTGAGAGAGGTGTGTCAGGATCACGCCACATGGAAGTCCGTAGTCTCTGCCTACCGCTCTGGGTGACAGGCGTGAGTGTTTGTGTGTGTGTATATATACTGGCATATACGTGAACAAAGTAGAAGTCTATATCATGGATATTTTTCAAATTTATTGGTTTTTTTTTCATTAACATTTAAAGTAAAGTAGCACTTGATCTAAATTTTATTTGACAGAAATTTTTATTTAAAAATTGAAAAGTTTACTTTTAAAAAATGTTAAATATCTATGCCATTGGCTTCTATTTCATTCACCTATTACAGCCTATTATTATTATTTATTACCATGGTTAAAACGTCGGCTGGTATAATTCTCTATCGGTGCTTAGACACAGTGAATTAAACGAATTTGAAAACCAGCGTAAAATAGCAGCTTAACGCTGCTGTGTTTTGTATGGTGAGTGTAGAGAACCGGAGACCCTTTTTACTGGCAAAGAGGCATTCCATCTTAGTCCTCACGGGTGACAACGCATCTGCATCTTGAGTCTTTATTGAGGATAGATGTAGATGTCTATGGGTCGCAGTGGCCACTTACCATCAGGTGGACTGTGTGCTCGTTTGTCACCCTATCCTATAAAAAAAAAAATTAAAGCCACAAATTCTCCTGAAATTATCGAAAATATTTTATTCGTTTTTAATCCCCAAAGAAAACCAAAGCCATGTTATATGTTTGTAGAGTGTATCTGGGTGTATGTGTACCTGTGTAACTATGTGTCTACCTGTGGCATCATAGCTCCTGAACAAATGAACCGATTTTGATTAAGTTTTATTCAATTGAAAGGTGTCTTAATCAAGAGTGTTCTTAGCTATATTTCAAGAAAATCTGTTCAGCCGTCTGAACATCACCAGGTTTCGGGGTTTTTTTTAAATTTTTAATTTAAGTTATAGTTAGTCACATTTAACTTCATCAATTGTAAGTTTTAAGGCATTAAATGTATTATATTATACATTGTTTACATTTATGAAAAGTTTGACTGGAACAGAGGATAGGTAGCATAGGAAGAATGTATGTAGGTATGTTTCTCTTTTCTACCGATTTCAAAAAGGGGCGGGTACTCAATTCTACTATGTTTTTTTATGTGTTACCTCATAACTTTTTACTGGGTGAACCGATTTCGATGATCCTTTTTTTTATTTGAAAGCTGGTGCTTCACATGTGCTGCCATATAAATTTGATCAAGGTGTGACCAAGAGTTTTTGAGTTATTCTTAATAATTTATATTGAAGTTGGTTGTACAACATTTTTAATTTGAAATTATGTAGATTTCTATTTTAGCCTAAACAGCTTGACGGAACTTAAAGTGTGAGGTGTCATTAAAACAAATTTTCATCTTCAGAGTGACACAGGCTAGGTTTAATTGTAGTGCTATAATGTCAGTCGGGAAACACAATACACTTGATTGAAGCATAATTTGATAAACATTTTATTACTTACTTATAGATTTATGTATAACATTTAGAAAGAACATGTTGTTTAATTATATTAATTCAGTTGAGCTTTATATTAATGTTTCAGCAGCAGAGAACAGAAGAAGAAGTTGGGTGTGGAAGTATTTCAATAAACTAAGCAACATTATATACCGTTGCAATCTTTGCAGTGTTGTTCTCTCAATAAAAGGTTGCAACACTAACAACATGAACCGTCATGTCCGAACTAGGCATCCTAGTGTTTATAAATCTGAAATAGAGCGGAAGAAGGACTCCGATCAGATAGATAATATGAGTGAAATAGAAACACCTTACAGCATCGGGGCAGAAGACATTAAAGCAAATGATAAGGAGCTTGATGAATCTTATGGTAAGTATTATATTGTACCGATATATTTCTATATTGTAAGCAGTAAGTAATTTGTAAATAATTTCATAAATCAAATGTTTAATGCCGATTTTATATGTTAATTTTTTTAATTTATTTTCTTTATCAGCTTGTAACATTCTAAAAGCCTACACATAGGTCTTTTCCATTACAAGAATAATTTGCCTTAATCATTCCGCATGGAAGGCGACAATTACGAGGGGTGATCCAAAAGTAATGATAACGAAAATAAAACACGGTAATTAAAGTTAAAATAATAATTTATTTTTCTACATAGTCTCCTAACAAATCAATACATTTAGTCCATCTTTTTTCTAAACCCAGGATACCCTTTAAAAAAAATTCTTTGTCTTGTTCTCCCAAAACGCTTCAACAGCGGCCATTACTCAGCTATCGTCTTCGAATTTCTTGCCTCGGAGGCGTTCCTTGAGCCGAGGAAAGAGGTAGAAATCACTAGGAGCTAGATCTGGCGAATAGGGAGGGTGTTCGAGCAGTTCGAATGCCGTTTCTTGAATGGCAGCCATCGCAACTGCGGCTTTGTGAGCCGGTGCGTTGTCTTGGTGAAATAGCACTCCAGCTCGCAGTTTGCCGCGTCTTTTTTCCTTAATGACCTCCCGTAATCTTCTTATTTGGTCTGCGTAGTAAGAGCCCGTAATAGTGGCTCCCTTTTCCAAATATTCCACCATAATTATGCCTTGAGCGTCCCAAAAAACAGATGCCATAACCATTCCCGCCGAACTTGAAACGTTGAATTTCTTTGGCGTCGGTGAGGAGGCTCGCTTCCAAGTCATCGATTGTTGTTTCGTTTCAGGATCAAAATGGTGGATCCAGGTCTCGTCCATAGTCACAAAACGGAACAAAAAATTTTCTTGATCTGCTTGGAACTTTTCGAGATTGACCCTCGAAATATCAACTCGATTTTTCTTTTGCTCGTCGGTTAACATTCTGGGTACCCAACGCGCAGAGACCTTTTTCATATGCAACTCGTTCGCAAAGATTCTTTGAACGCTGCCATATGAGATCCCTGTGACCTCAGCTACATGCCTGATGGTCACTCTTCGATCTGACAACACAACATCTTCGACTTTTTTCACGTTGTCTTCAGTGAGAAACGTGGATGGGTCCTTCGCGATGTTCATCTTCAGTGGATGTTCTGCCCAGTTTAAACTCCTTGGCCCAGCGTGCAACTGTAGAATATGTAGGAGCAGAGTCCCCCAATGTTTCCACTAAGTCACTGTGTATGTCTTTTGAAGACATTTTTTTCAAACAGAGGTACTTGATGACAGCTCTAATTTCGTTTTTCTCCATGTTGATGTTATCTCTTTGACAGTTCGTTTTCAAATGAATGTATCTCCCGGAAATCGTGATCTATTTATATGATTTTTTAGGCTGACGTAGTGAGCATATAAGCAAGCAAAAAATATTTTTTTTTGATTTTTATGCGGACCTGAAGTAACCGATTATCATTACTTGTGGATCACCCCTCGTAGTACCAGATGTGTCGCCGCTTTTCCCCATCCCCGGTTTTTTTTTATAGAATATGGGTGACAAACGAGCTCGCAGTCCACCTGATGGTAAGTGGGTGCTGTGGTCCATAGACATCTACATCTATCCTCGATTAAGGATCGAAATGCCTTGTCACCCCTGAGCCTAAGATGGAATGCCTCGTTTCCAGTAAAAAGTGTTTCGGTTCTCTACTCTCACGATACAAAATACAGCAGCACTGCTGCGACGTAAGAGAATCCATCATCGCATTTCGTCCCATGGGTATCGTAAATGGCGACTATGAGTAGTACAAGAAAAATGTAAATAGCTTTTGATACATAGCGGTATAAATATCTCGTTTACGCCAGATGCAAAATATACAGGTTGGCGATGGCTGGCAGCAACACTAGATATATAGGATAGGATAGGGATAGGATAGAGCTCTTTTTCCGCCGCTAAATAACTGTGCATTAAACACTCCTATATTCAAGTTTGAAGAGTAAGTTGTGAGGCATTCCATCTTACTCACCAGAGATGACTACGCATCTGTAGACTTCTTTGTTTGAAGTTGGTTTCAGGCAACATGGGCTGCAGTAGCCACTTGTGTGGTGGACTGTTAGTTTATTTGTCACATTATGACAGCCCTTCACGTTGGCCAACATTGTGGCGAATGTGTTGGCAAAGATATTAGCTAAAAGTTTGTGATGGCGTCCACAAGTTGGAAGGTCGTTCAGTTTGCTTCGGTTCAGGCCAATGTGCAGACGAATTTATTAAAATGGATATTGAGTCACACAGTCTTTTTTATTTTTTTTATTTAGAATGCGTGATAATGCATTATTTTAACTGATTGTTATTCATATATAACTAAAGCCCACTACTAGTTTACTACGCACGCACACATTAGTAAGGGTCGTCTCGTCGGTAAAAACGTCGCACACAAAGAAGCGCGCGTACGCGTGGTTGTTGCCCATAAATCACATTAAATTTGGAATAATTTCAAAACAGTAGAAGTCTTATTTACTCGTATTTTCAAAAACTGCAATATGTAACGGTATATCATTATTTATATGTATATTTGAACTTAAGTATAAAATTTGGGCTACTCTGAAAAATAACCCTGTATATTAAAATATTTATTATTATACTAGCTCGCCAGGCAGACGTTGTCCTGCCCTTGCCAACGACCCTTCCTATAAAAATCCTTAAATTCGCAATAAAAAATTTTGAGGGTCATTATGATATGATATAAAAATATCTCTCAAATTGGGCCAAAATGTACAGTGTGCAAAATTTCATTGAAATCAGTTCAGTAGTTTAGGGAGTCCATCGCGGACAAACAACGTGACACGTAATTTTTATATATAAAGATTATTAATTATTATAATTTCGTTTTATATTTACTTGCTTTAATTGATTTGCTTGCATTAATATTTTTGATTATACATAAATTAAATTGATACATAAATAAATTATCACTGGTTTACTGCATCATCCAAAAGTTGACTGATAGAGATTGCCACAGGCGTTGATTCCACCTAAATCATAACATATTTATGTATGAAGTTAAATAAATAATCTAGATTTGAATCTCAATCGAACAAAAATTTGTGGTATCAAAATTACTGTTTACTTTCGTTGCGTATTTTGCTATGTTTATTACACTTTATTGCAATCAATGGGACTTAGCCTGTCTGGATGTGTTATTTATATCACGTCATTTTTATAGTCATTTATCCAAAGGCTTGAAATCTTTTTTGCAATTCCTATTGTGACTATTTTTTATTATTTCCTTACAGGGCAAAAAATGAGATGACGGATTCTGTTACGCCGCAACCATATGGCTCTTTAATTTGTTTTTAGATGAGTAACTATTTAGTTTTTTGACTAGTTTATATGACTGCTCGTTGATCTTGTGGTCGTAAGCACAGCTGTTGATGAGTTCGAATCTCCGGTCTGGCCAAAATCAATTATTAAGTTTTTCTGTTAAGACATTCTCAGTAACTGCCCAGAGTCAGATATTTGGCGATGTTTCACCCCCCCTGTGCCTCGGAAAGCACGTAAAGTCGTTGGTCCTGCGCCTCACCTCTCCAATCGTGCTGAATTGTCGGACTATGAGTGAGGGAATAGTGTGCACTTGTGCTTTGCGCATACACTCAGGCACTATAACCTTGTCCTGCCCTGATGGCTAGTCTCCGTTGAGACTAGTCGCCATGACCAATATTTGGTCGGAAGGATATTAAAATAATCATAAATAGATCAAAAAAGCCCAGGAGATGATTTTTAAGTTTTGGTAATCAAGAAAAATTTTGGCTATAACTTATCAAAGGTTTTTGATTGTATCGTATTATTATACTTATTATAAGCCAGTGCTTTAATCCCACCTGATGTTAAGTGGTGACAAAGTCGGAGATGGTAAATTGAACTCTCTCATCGTAAAAAATCTATTCACTCTTACCTTGAAGACACCCGAATTGTAATCGCAAGGACGTATTAATAAACAATATGTGTGACTATTCCAGAGTGCTTAAGTCAAAAGCAACGTCGCAGTTGGATTTGGTCTTATTTCAATCGCATCACGTCTACGCTGGCGCAATGCAAACTTTGCAACCGGAACATCAGCCACGGCGGCAACGCCACCGGGAATATGAACCGGCACCTCAAGATGGTGCACCATAAAACTGCAGGTATGTATACATACAGATGACGCTGCATATGTTTATCAGTTATGTCTTACTTAATATAAGTATTAACACTTATTTTGCAAAATCCTTTTTGAACGGACAACGAAAAAATCTATAGAGAATCAAGAATTTATAGAGCCCGTTGTGTTCATAAAATGGAAGGAGTATTGTGCATGCTTTAGTTTAATATTGCATGGTACCAGATTGCAACTCAAGAACCTTTCTTCCCCATCGATTATTGATTCTTCGAGCCATATGACCACCCCATTGACACTAATACTAGCTTATTGATAGTTTGGACTATGTTGATTATTATAGTTCTACTGCGGATATCCTCATCAGGGGCATAGCTACCGCCGTATCAGCCGTATCAATGATACGTGTGTAAGCAAAAATTTCTAAAGTGTTAATCCCCCAATCTTACTTAAACTCTTAAGCCGCGTATCCAACAAGCCGCAACACAACAGTTGGTAACAAAACTATGATGGAGACGCGGCTTTAGGCCGTACTTCCTGAGAAAAAAATCATATCATAAAAAAGTGTCCAACGTGCCTAAAGAAGCTTTCACTTCAAAAATTACGAAAGTCAAAAAAGGACTCTTTTATTCCGTAAAGTACACAGAACACGCACGATTGACCCCCGATCATAAATTACAAAATTTCCGACGCGTGTCAGCATATACATCAGTTATTACGGGACTCCCCCGTTTACTTGAATGACAGTGACAAGACAAACCACGGCGAGCAATGTTTACTCATTTTATATCAATCCCGTTCAAACGTTATTACATTGTAATAAAATTTTGTTCTTGTGATTTTTTATTGGTTAATAAGTTTATCTAAGGACTTCTATGGGATAGGAAAGGCTATCAGACTTGTCACTATTGCCTATGAATGATTTAGTAAGTAAGTTCGCCGAACTAAAGGCAAGTGGAGTCTATATTTGATTTGAATTATTTGGCTTAGTTACTTTTTTATATAGGATAGGGGTGACAAACGAGCACACAGTTCACCTGATGGTAAGTGGTTGCTGTGGCCCATAGACATCTACATCTATCCTCAATTACGAATTTAAATGCAGATGCGATATCACCCTTGAGGACTAAGATGGAATGCCTCGTTTCCAGTAAAGAGGGTCTCCAGTTTTCTACACTCACCATACGAAACACAGCAGCGTTAAGCTGCTATTCTACGCTGGTATTCTGTGAGAGCGTGGTCCTTCCCCGGTCGAGCCGACCCATTCGTTCTACGACTATCTACTTATACAGCTGTAGTATGGCTCTAGTTACTAGGGTCCTATTTCATTAGATCCTAATTACTTTAATTCAATACGAGCGTTTTGGTTCCAAAAATCTTTAAAAATTATTTGGGCCTCCCCACAAATATTAATAGGGCCCGTTCAAGGCAAGAGTGAATGAGCTTTTGTTAAGTCAGTGCGCTTCACCATCTTAGGCTACTTCACCACTTACCATCCGTTGGGATCGTAGATAATCACTGGCTTATTAGAATATAAAAAAGAAGTGTCTGCAAGACATTAATACTTTCACTCTCCGATTTTCAGACACATTCGTAAGACAATAGTAATGAACTATTATATGTATTACACGGGATATCAAAAGGGTTAAAACTGTTTCTAAAATAAAGTAGTCTGCTTTCCTCTCGCGCGTGGATCTCACTTAACGTATCTCCTATTCCTTTCTAAAATGTCATCAATGTAAATCTAGCTCAATACATTTGTTGGTTTTAGAATTTCGGTCTGCAGAACCGACGTGAGAGAATTATCAATTACACGAGTCCTAACCAAATAAAATGTAATAACTTAACTGTAATGTAATATTCCTTTATTTCAAAATTCGACCCTATTTCCTTATATTTTTAGGTTTGTATACAAAGGAAGCTGTATTTCACTTTCAACTGCACATTTATATAATATAAAATACAGATATCTAATATACAAAATATAAAATAAACACTTTTTTGCCTAGAACATAGTGATTAACATTCTCTTTGGTACTTACTCTGAGACATTGGCAGTTTTATATAATTTCATTTAATATATTTGTAACACATACTCGTATTATACATTTATAGCTTTCTGTACTCCTCCATATAAACTTTAATTATGTCAAATTTTACACTCCTCCGTGCGCGCAATGTGTTTAAATATCACTATCACTATTTTATAGATATTATAAATACTCATGCCTGCCACCCAGGGTAGGCAGAGACTACGAACTTCCATTTGGCATGATCCTGACACACCTCTCTCGCCTCCTCCACATCCACATACCTACGCATACATGCTCATCGGTTAAGGGTACTCTATTATAGATATCACTTTATTATAATAATAAAAAAACATTATTTTTCTAGACTGGGAGATGAATCAAAGGAATGTCTATGTAGGATCAGAGAAATAAAAACACCAAAGGTGTTTTAATATGGAAATTAATTTCGAACGGTCTTGTTTATTATTGACATTATTGGTTTTTACCATCAACAGTTAAAAAAGAGTCCTTTGCTTAAACTATAGTAGGAAAAAAGATGATAAAATTGAAATTAAAATTATATATTTTTACTTTAGTACAATAGTTGGCCAATTAATGGTTGAAAAAGTTTTATAGGATATCGTTATTTACAGAAAATAATCCGGGGTCGAAGTTAATAATAAGTTTCGTGAGTTCTTTTTTAATAGTTGACTTATTAATCGATTGATTCGCATTGGGGGCAAAAAGAAGCCAATTGTTTGAATAATTTAAGACTAACAAGATAAATGTTATGCCAAATATATCATCAAGCTAGCCTCGATCTAACCCTAGTAAAGATAAAAATACAAAGAATGTTATTTTGTTAGGTATTAATTTAACCTGACTCACATAAAACGCAATTTAATTTAAAAAAAAATACTTTTTCGTAGTGAGCCCCGACTTGTCATTGGCCTTCTTATGACAAACTACGCAAATTCTGAAATAACTTATGACAAAAGTTAAAACTTATCTAATTATCTGCAAGGAATCTTGCACATTTTTTGCTTTAGTATACTTTTTTCAGTTAATTAACATAAACCCGAATTTTCAAGTATCCTCTCAAGAAAAAAATGGCAGGAGTAATTTCCGGACTCCAAGGGCGGGACAAGACGGCAAGGGACCCTTGCCGCCCTTGGAATCCGGAAATTAACCTTAGTAAGAAATTAATTTGTTTGGAAACCTTTAAGGTATGGCAAATCGCTTCGTCTTGATGCTTGATTATCCTACGTTGTATCCCTCAAATTGTAATGTAAAAATTCTCGTAACAATCGTATAAAATCGTATTTTCATGACAAATCCCTATATTGTTTCAAAGAAATATAGTTCATATTTATTTAGAACCCGCCTGAGTAGGTCTTTTTACCTACTTTTTTCCCTACTTACCAATTTCAGCCTTCAAATTGCGTATTTCTCTTATTATCAAACAAATTAATTAACACCATCTAGCACGGGATTTTGAGCGTTTTTGGACATATTTTTCTACCTTTTAACACGAGGATTGTCAGTTCTTGCGTATTTCCATCCATGTATTAACTTTACATTTGCAATATGTAGATGTGAATATCTAAGCCGTGTGGTGGCGGTGTAGGAGAGTCCATCACTCAGTTCCGTTGGTATCGTAAGAGGCGACTATGGAAAACCCTAAAATATTTCATGGCTTTCGATAGATGGCGGTAAAAACATTTCGCTTACGCCAAACGTAAAATGTGTACACCGGCGGCTGATACCAGTGACAAAGGTGCGACACGTCTGGGACTGCGGTTACCAATCCGTGTCAAACGTGGCGATTAACTAAATACCTACAGTCGACTCTCGCTAATTTGACACTCGTTAATTTGAGTCTTTCGATAATTTACATAAATGAGAGAGATTTATTTTCAAAATGAACATTTGTAAAGAATTATACAAATGTTTAAAATAATAAATCATGACGTTTGATCAAACTCTTGTTTACTTGATTTTTTCTTCTCTATCTCTTGGTTATCTAAACTCCCGTTATTTTGAACTCTTGGTAATTTGAAATTTTTCTCTGGTCCCTTGAGTTTCAAATTATCGAGAGTCGATTGTATTCCTTCACTGCTGGCCGGATGAGGAAGCTCAAGGTCACTCAGCGAGCTATAGAGAGGGTTATGCTCAGAGTTTTTCTGCGTGATAAACTTAGAAATGAGGATATCCACAGTAGAACCAGAGTGACCGCCATAGCCCAATGGATTAGTAAGCTGAAGTGGCAATGGGCCGGCCATATAGCTTGAAGAACTGACAACCGATGGGGAAAAAAAGGTTCTCGAGTGGCAGCCTCGTACCGGTGGACGAAGTGTAGGTCCCCCCCCCCCTCACTAGATGGAGTGACGACCTGGTAAGATATGCAGGAAGTCGATGGATGCAAGTGGCTCAGGACCGTGCTTTGTGGGCTGTAATGATGATGATAATGATGATGACTGTATTCCTAGACTTGGGATTTTATCGATAAAAAGATTGCTGATTGCCTATCCATCCGTTATTCTCGATAAATGTTGCTGACCGATATGAATCCTTATTATGCATGTTACGTTCTTTCACTACCTTTTCTTCACTACGAGGGCGGCACTGGAAATATCGGCAATCAAGGAAGTGACACAACATTACTATTTAAAAATGTATTTATTGCTTTTCGAAGTATTCTCCGCGAAATTTGACACATTTTTCCATACGATGGAACCAATCATTGAAGCAACCATTCCATTCGGAAGTTGGGGTCTCCAAAATGGCCGTTTTGTAGGCGTCTACAGCTTCTTCAGGTGATGAAAATCTCTGTCCACGCAATTTATTCTTTACTTTATGGAAAGTATAGAAATCATTAGGGCTTAGGTCGGGGCTGTACGGCGGATGGTCTAATAATTCTATGTTTTCTTGCTCTAAAAACTCTTTTGTTCTGTGTGCGGTGTGAGAACTCGCATTGTCGTGATGGAGAATGATGCGGCGGTTGCAGTTCTCTTTACGGAGTTTAGAAACGACCTGTGGCAAACAAATGCTAGCGTACCATTCTGCATTAACCGTTCTTTGTCCCTCAAGAAGAATAGTCGTAACATGGCCGGTTTTGGAGACAAACGTGGGGCCACCATTTTTTTTTTGCAACACTCCGTGAACGAACAATTTTTGTTGGCTTTAACTCATTTTCGAACACCCAAACTCGTGACTGGTTTTTTGTTTCGGGTTCGTACACGTATATCCAGGATTCGTCACCTGATACGATGTTGTATACAGCATTTGAGATTCCTGTGTGGAATCTTTCGAGAGTTCTGACGCACCAAGTAACGCGAGCCGCTTTTTCCTCAATCAGCTTACGCACAGCATCAACGTTTTCTTGGGTGACTGCAGTTTTTGGACGACCTTGACGGGGATCATCACTGAGCTTGACACGTCCACGTTGAAATTCAGCAAACCAGCGATAAATTGTGGTTTTGGATGGGGCTTCATCACCAAATGCAGAAATCATCCTGTCAACACACTGTTTTTGTGTTAAACCACTTCGAAAGTCATAATAAATCATCGCTCTTGAATTTTCTCGAGTCAATTACATTTTCTCAACGACTAAACAAGTTTGATAAAACCTTGTGACAAGACCGAGAATCTTTTTTTATATAAATAAATGGTATTCGATTTTTAAAACCAAGGAGTTTTCAATTAAAAAGATTTTAATATGACAGGAACAGTGGAAATATTCCATTCCCGATACTTTTAGTGCAGCCTATGTATAAGCTGCTTGATTACAATGCGATCTAATTGATCCCTTGACAAAGTTCGTCCATAAGATTTTCTAGTTTACTAGGACCCGTTCCGGCTAATACATATATATATATATATATATATATATATATATATAATACAATAACATAATCCTCAGACTTTATTTTCTCAAAAAATCCCGCCTGGCATTGCTCTCTATTACGTCGTAAAGTTTCTTCACAATCGATTTAGTCATTCCGAAAATTAGCTCAGGTAAGACAGACTGATAGACAATCTATGTCTTAGTAGCATGCGAATTGCCTGAGTTTAATAGAAGCTAGTTATGTCAATATTTAGGATGGACACTTCAATTTTATTTAAACGTTTAAATTTTCTATGATCAATAAAGAAAAGAAAAGTGATTTATCCAATAAGAACATTTTTTTTATGAGTTTATCTAGTGAAACGTAATGTAATGACTTAAACCTGAAGCCATCGAAACATACGCCATTGAAAAAAAATTACCCTCGCAATGCTATTTAGTTATACAGTGAGGGTCGACAAGCACAATTATAGGCTAACAAGCAATACATATTAGTGGTAGTTATGTATTATTGTTTTGCACTTTCCTGTAAAGTACTATCTATAGGTATGCTCATCTTATTCCTCGAATTTACATTCTCTCAGTAATAATGTCCTCTAGATTCAATTTTGGTCACCGGGGCCAGTCTAAACGGAGACTAGCCATCTACGTGGGACAGGATAATAGTGCCCAAGTGTATACGCACAAGTGCACTCTGTTCCCTCACTGTCATTCTCCGACGAGACGGTAATCCGACACGACCGAAGACAGATCAGGAGCGACCACTTTAAGCGCTTTCCGAGGCACGGGAGTGAAACGTTGCCAACTTACTGCTGGCTGGCTGCTGTTGACAATTTCTTAACAAAAAAACTTAAAACTGATGATTTTTAGTCCGACCCGGGATTAGAATTCGAGAGCTCATTATCATCAGTCGCGTCAGCACTAGACTAACGAGGCAGCAGTTTTCAATTATATATTAATTTATATTTCATTATTGGTCCCTTTTCCTAGGTACAGTTTGTCTTCTCCTAGACATATCTATACAAATAAATAAAATTGAAGTGTCTGTTTGTAATGTCGAAATAACAGCTTTTCTGCCGACTTCCAAAAAGGAGACGGTACTCAATTCGACTGTATTTTTTTTTGTTTTTTTTTTTATGTGTGTTACCTTATAACTTTTTACTGAGTAAACCGATTTCGATGATTCTTTTTTTATTTGAAAGCTGGTACTTCTCGTGTGATCCCATATGAATTAGATAAAGTTCAGACCAATAGTTTTTGAGTTATTCTTAAATAACTTATATTGAAGTCGGCTGTCCAAAATTTTTAATTTTTAATTATTACTATATGCAAATGAAAGTATATACGGTACTTATAACAAAAACACGATTTTTAAAATTTTTGTCTGTCTGTCTGTTTGTTCGTTGGTCGGCTAATCTCCGAAACGGCTGGACTGATTTTGACCGGACTTTAACTGACAGATACCTGATGTTATAAGAACTAACTTAGACTACTTTTATTTTAGAAAAAGAATTAGGGTTCCGCGCAAAAAATTAAAACCCGTGAAATCCAATCGTAATAAATAACGCGCGGGCGAAGTCGCGGGGAACAGCTGGTGAAGTCATAAAATTCCTCCATATCTCGTTATAACTAAAACAAGAAATTAAATTCTAAGTTCTAGGTGATGTGACTGTTTCTACCTAGCATACCGGCTGGGCAGGTTAATAGCAGTGCGTGCCCGTTACAGTCTGTCCATGCACAAAGCATTCCATGTTAGTCACAACGCATCTGTAGTCGTCTTGACGACGCTTGGTTTTTTTTTTTTGTTTGCAGTGGCCATTTACCATCAGGTGCACTGTAAATTCGTATATTATAAACGTTAAGTTCTGACCTAAAAATATTGCTCAATATTTTAAATTTACATAATTTAAATGTTCTGTATTGATTGATGAAAGTGTGTATCATAGGTGTATTTAAAGAAAATATTTCTCGAAATCGCATCCCATCGACGAGGGATGATAATTTAATAATTATGTAATATAAGGAAAGCGCTCTTTACAGAAACCTACATAAAATATGTAATAAACCTTGCCCGATCCGTGAGTGCTTTTAGGTATCGCGAAACAAAAACAAAAAAAAAACTTCACAAAAAAAGCTTAATTAAATAGGGAAACTTACATGTCAATGCGGCGGCCGTTGGGTATCGCCCCACGTTCAAAGAAACCGTGTTGCCAAATATAAAAAATTGCTGAAATTTTAGCAAATTGTATTTTATACTGCAATTTGTCTTAAACTCGACTAATAACAGGATATTTTTTTAGTAATTTCATTGGGGTTGGACAGGGTGTTTTTAGCATATTGTATATTGCCCACGTTTTTCCGCAGAAGACAACGGCTGGGTGTGGAAAGTCTTCGAGAGCATCGAGGACGACTTCTACTCGTGTAAAATATGTCAATACAAGTGCATGAAGTTCGAAGAAATCGAGAGAAGCGTTACGTGCATATTGCATCATCTAAAGGCAGAGCATGGAGTAATATCGGGCGATCAGATTATAACCGGCACGGAATACGAGGGTGACGAGATCAACTGATGGAAAATTCCACTTATGAATAGGATGAATCAAGTTTAAAGTGATTTATTATTTGGTTTTGGTTTAGGTATGACCGGGGCAGTGCAGTTACCCAACTGCATTTTAATTTATCTATTATTATTTTTTCCTTGATCTCTGTCGTTAATGCTATTGGATTTAGTTTTTAAAGCATCACGAATTAAGCACACGAAACAAAACTATCAACTAAGAATTAAACTACCCTCCATTGGTACGTTTCTATGGCGCATTGTCTGAATACAAATCATCAAAATTGTGTTAATACCTATTTTTGCGATATCTTACTACATAATTTTAATTTTTAATTATTATAAAATATATATAACTAAACAAACTGTATATTCTTCTATGTCCAATATATAGATAGGTATGAATGTTGTAGATATATTTTCTAAATTATCAAATAAACTTAAGCATTGGAATGTTTTTTAGACCTAATTGTTTTATTTCAAAAGTCCTGAGGGTGAGAGTAATCCATTCATTCTGTCGTTTTATTCGACTGCTTCATAAGGATAGTAATTAGTGATCTCCATAAGGATGATTTTTAGATGCCGTCAGCTTAGATCAGAAGAGAATGAAATTAGGCTTATGCTTATCATGCTCTCTTCATGTCACGAATGTTATAGGTAACATTTTGAAGTAATAATATTGTACTAATACCTCGGTCGCCATCATCCCGTGGGTGTCATAAGAGACGACAGAGGGAAATTAAAGAGGAGATGGGCAGCACCATCTTTTTGAAAACAACTCAAAATAATAATAAAACTGCGGTTGCCAACCTGCGTGCCAAGCGTGGCAGCTGTGGCAAATACAACTGCTTTTGAGGGTGGTCTATGTTAACAGTGGACTATAGGCTGTGCCGATGGTGATGATATTATGTTGTGTATAACTTCATTTTACTTTTTCAACCGCTTTAATTTTTTTTGTGTTACCTCAGAACTTTTTTCTAGGTGAACTGATTTTTTTATTTGAAAGCACGTGCATCTGATGTGGCCCCATAAAAATTTGATCAAGATCTGACCAGTAGTTTTTGAGTTATCCTTAATAATGCGTATTTATTTGACTTCGACTACATTGATGATGTTCTCATTTTATTTATATTGAAGTCGGTTGTAAAAGAAAATATTATACCACTTGTCTTGTAATATCATTACTTGATGAAATACGCTCAACTTAATTCGATCTGGGGTTTTTATTTATAAAATAAACAATTGACAATTTTTGGGTTGCTATTACTTAACTATCTGGTATTTGTTAAATATAATTGTTTTCCTTAACTTACCATTGAGTTAAGAACAAGTATATTGCTTTCTTCTTATATAATAGTATTTTCAAAAATAGCATCGACTTCGTAGCTTAATGGTACTTTGCTATACCGGGGGTGCTTGGTTCAAATAAAAGCCGGTAATAGTTGTAGTTCCGCTCTGTTTGTATGTATCATCTTTAATTCCAGTCCAATGGAAGGGAAACAGGAACAATTTGGACGGATGTGTGTTTCTTGTTTGCGGTCAAACTTATGGCACTATAATATATTCTTTATCGACTATGAACTTTTGAAATATAAGAAGCTATCTGTTAATTCGAAAGTTGACGTCAAATCGCCTAAATTCGCTCAGGAAGACGTCGTAATTATTGAATTAAAACAGTCAACTTTCTCTGTCTCTCTTTCTCTAGCAAAATGAAAATTGTAAGACTTTTCTCTCGACGACGATGACTATAAATAGTTACTCGCAAATCAAGAGCAAAGTGGCTGACTTATTACGTGGATTGCTGTTTGTTATTAATTTAATATACTTTTTTTTATTAATTTATTTAATTTTGTAAAAATAAAACAAACTGAAACAGTATGACTAGCTTTATTCATTTACAAACATCAAATTACACATCAAAAGATAAAATCCTATTCCCTTATTTGTAATTTGGCAAATAACATTCATCACTACCGTGATACAGGTAACTTAATTTACATATACACATTACACAACCATGTACAAGATTCATTCAGGATTTAGCCGCTAAAGTGCATTATATATATTTATATAATTTATATTAAACATTATAATATGTTTAGTTCTTTAGTACACACATTTTTTATGAATAAAAATACTTGCTAGTACAAAGGACCGATATGTTTTTAATAAATGTTGATGTTTGTTATTGTTTGAAGTTGCAACACAGAATTTTTTAACTAATTAATGTTAAAAAATTATTTTTTGAAATTGGCTTATTCTGTAAGAAGAGAGGTAGAATGGTTCCAATCAGCGGTGCTATATTTTTATTTATTTAGTTGCGGGGCGCTGTTGATATTTCAAGTTTTTCCGAAACCATGCTCAACTCTCAACTCATGCACATGTCTTTCTTTTTTCTTTAACTGCCCGCAAAGGGCCACTGTACGACGCACACATTACCACCTATAACCATGTTTATTGCAAATGGTTTCAGATGCATATGGAAAAGAGTGAGTGCATGTTCTTACAATAAGATGAGCATGGTCTTGGCTTGAATTCGGCGTCATTTGAGTAGCGCTCTTTTCTTTTTTGGCCTCAGTACTTGATAAATATAAACGTACCTCAGTGGTTTTGTAATAATTCATTATAACTAAATAGGAAATAGTGAGATTTTTTCCTCCTTAAAATTAAATGGTTACATCAAGGTTGTCTACATCTGTCGGGGAGTGAGGTTAATCTTTGCAATATTTATTGTAAGTATACAAAATATCACGCCCTTTTTTTTTATTACTGTTTGACAGTTAACAAATCCATTCAGAACTGTATTCAATTATATTAAGTATATAATATCATATATTATTATAAATTAATTCAGAATACACGAGTATTTTATCAGTATAACAAAAATATCTAGCTGCAACAAAAACTAAATTAATTTTTAAGATCTATAGCTTATAGATGATTGAAATTCTATGATAATTTTTGTTTTGGTCTCGTTTAACTAAATGTAAAAAGTCTGTATATTAACCACTTTGTTGGCAATTATTAACATTATTGATTTTTTTATAACCTGTAATAAATCTATATTATATATATTCATTGAAACGTCTCTACAAGAATGTACAGTACGAATGTAAAAATATTTTTTATATTGTAACTGTAATATTTTTTTTAAATATGTCAGGTATAACCTATTGTCAGTATTCATAAGCCGTGTAGTAAAATATATTTTCAAGAGGGTAAGTAGTATATTAAATACTAATACTAATATACTTGAATGTTTATAAGCTATATCTATACAATACCACAACAAATCACCTTAATAACCCTAATACTAACACTAATACTATAAATAAAATAAATAGCATACAAATATAAACATTTAAACATCATATGCATTTGCCTTTTATTTATTACAATGAATCCATGAATTGCTTAGAAGTGTCTAATGACCCTGTGTTTGATCCTATATTTCAGTTGCGCTCATTCAATGAAAAAAGCCTACTTGCACAGAACGCAATTAAAAACATAATAATTTTAGATCGATTACATATTTTTTCCAATGTTATATTTTTTTATTATAGTTTATTGTTCATATAGTTTTTTTAGTATAAAATTAATCTATTTCCAATAAAGTAATGAGCACGTCGCCATATTTAAAGCTCATTGTTATATACACTGGCAATTAGAATATAAATTTATACTATGAGGTAATTTTTCAATATTTACTTTTCGATATATTCAACAGGGTTGCCACTTAGGGGACGGTGATTTTTACATCATTGGCTCAAAAACTTTTAAGATTTTTTTTTGTTCCTGTATCTGTTTCTTATCAGTTTATCACTTATATATACAATCATTTTTGAAGTAATACGAAGTATTTACTACTTAATTCTATTTGTTACCACACGTTTTGTACTATTCCATTTAATATTCTTAGGGCAGATATTTCAATCACCAAAAATTATATATTACAATTGTGTGTATGAATAAAAAATACAATTGTTTCACTTTTATAGTCAGGTTATAATTTATTTGATGGATAACTTTTATTTGACGATTGAAAAATCAGCTCCTTTTTGAACAGTGTTTTTGAAATTCCTTGCATTTAATTTTATACATATTATTACATTCAGAAACTGCCTTAAAACCAACAAAATATAGAACTTATGTAAAAAACATCTAGTAATTTATTCTATGCCGACAGTATTAACGTTATTTAAGAAAATTAAGATTCTAAATTAGTGGATTTAGAGGGAAAAGAAAGCTAGAGGCGTTTATTTAATAGGAATAAACCGAAATCTCATTGTCTTTTAGCATTTTTGGAATTAAAGTTAATGCTTGAATATTACAATTTGACAATAATGGACATCAGACGAACAATATTTTTGTTAATTTCTTAAGTGACTGGCGGCTTGGGTCCACAATTATGTGTACTTTGTATGTATACGATCCTGCCTCGGTAGGTGTGCAGGGCGGCTTTACACCACGGACCTCTAGAACATCGCCAGCGTATCTTGCCATTTCTTGCGCAACCATTGAACCTGAACCTGTAACCTCCAACGTTTATGCCCATCTTCCCTTGCTTGCTGAGGCAGTATGAGGCAAAGCAGTCAATCCCCGTTCCGATTAATCCCACTGAAACGAATACCAATGTTAAAATCTTGATGTATGGAAATTGAACTGTAGTCTATGTGTAAATTTAGAGAAAATTCCCATTTTCAATGTAAAATCATCATCAATTTTCAACTGCGTCGATTTTACAATGAACTGCTTGTGATACTTTGACTTTTATATACTACTTGAATATAAAATGACATACTAACGTTTATTAATATATGATCAAGTTCGTTTTGTATGTTATTTTAATCAAGTGTAAAAAAAAAAACTGTGCATTATTTCTCATTTTATTTTAAAACAGAATTATAAATAAGTAGTAATTTTATTATAATAAGTAGTTGCATATATAAATATTTTGGAACGTTTCCCCTGCACATCCAATTGAAACTAAAGCGGGTAATCCATCTAAATATTGAGACACACACCTTTATGGTTATTAATATGCATTAGTATCTCTATTAGATCTGTGACATAATATATTGAATATTTAATATAAGATTAAACATTAAATCAGACCTGTATTTATGGATAATCAAGACTTTAAACTCAAACATATGTCAAAATTTGAGTGTAGATCAATATCATAATGTTACACAAATTTTGACATTGTGAATTTAGAATTTTAAACAGATTGATTCTGAATCTTAGACACTGGACACGAGACTTCTCTCATTTTGTGGGAATTAAAGGAAAGTATAAAGAGACAAGTAAAGATTAAACAGTAATAATGTAATAATTTTTGTGCGGTTAGAAAATTATAATCCACACCAACGCATTTTTCAACCATACTAGTTCTTTTTGGCATTTTCGAAGACTTCGTCCACTGCTAAATAAACAATGGGATTCCAACAACAGACAACAATC